CTCCTTGTGTGTGCATGTGTACACACGTGTGTGAGTTTGTTTGTGTTTAGGATGAAGGGCTAACATTGGAGTGAATTCTCTCTTCCTATCATGTGCTCCCAAAAACTTAGCCCATAAACTTGATACAAGCTCCCTCACTGAATGAGCATCCTGCTGGTCCTCAATGCAATTTTACTTTATGATACCAACACCCAAGGTTGTGTTCCAGAGAGGACATTCTCTGTCCTGGAATTTCAGTTTCTTGACATGAATTAGTAGATAACTTATTTCCTTGGCTTCCTCACTTTTGCATTGGATATGCCACATGTCTGTTAGAGCTGCTGTATTAGTTGACTCACAACAGATATTTGAAAAATGTGTTAATATCTATATAAAATAAGGGTGCTTTCTGTATTGTATGCATTTATATTTATCAATATCAAGCTATGTCATCAACTGGTTGCACTATCTTGGGAAAGTCCCTTGACTTCTCTAAACTAAAGTTTGTTTTGTAGAAATTAAGATCTGGGGACTAGAAGACCCCTCTGTCTTTTGCAGCCCAATGACCCCAAGGTCAGTAGTTACAAGCTAGCATCCTAATAGATCACAGGGGAAGTTAAGAATTGATGCCATGGCAAATGGGGCCTGTAATTATTAGAAAAATCTCCATGACAACCATGATTTCAGAGAGTAAGAGTAAGAGTATGTTCTATAATTGGCTTTTCCCTTCCACTTTGACTAGGAACAGCACATTTAAGAGGATTCCCCCGTGTTGCTCTCTCACTGTCTTACCAGACAGCTGGGTTAATGGTTAAAAATATTTATTAAGAATATACTAGTGACTTTCCTGGAAAATTATTTGGAATATTGACAGTGTCAACATTTGGTGGGAATTCTGACTTCTAGTCTTGGTGAAGGTCAGAGGGTAAAACTTGCAGTTAGACTCTGTTATCTCAAGGTCTGTCATTTTTACAGGAGGACTCACAATCTAATAAGATTTATGGGGATTAAATTTTCCCACTCTTCCCCTAGCCATTCTCCTAACTTCCACACCCTGTGCTTTTTCTCCAGTTTCCTTTTGTGCTTACCCAAATTATATGCTGTTCAAAGAAAAGATTATATCATATGTTTAAAATATCAGGTATGTGTCTTGGGTGTGATATGGTTGTTGAATTCTTATGTATGTACCTCAAATTCTGCTACTTTCCATATTCTACTTATAACAATGGAGATAACGAGGGTAGCTATGGTTAAATGAGATTATCTATAAACCTTACTTAATTTTAAAGGCACGAGATGGAGATTGGGATAAAATCAGAACTGATTGAGTTTCAGATTTCCTAAGAGCCAAGCATGCTTGTCCAAATATCCCAACTTTCTGCCTTCCCGGGAACTCCTTTCACTGCACTTTTGCTTACGGGTGTTACATCTTTGAAATAATTGGAATTATACTCTATTCAGACTCACAGTTTTGGCTCATGATTTCTAGTTATAAGAGACAAACCAAACCAATTCTTGAGATATGACAGACTACTCATGCATGATTACCCTGGACAGTTCACAATCTTCAAATAGTTTTCCAGTATCAACTTTGGTGGTTCCTGAGTTCTAGTTTTATCAGTAAAGTTATGGGAGATGCTCTATTGGAGATGCCCCACTCCAGACACAGATAGTGTTCTTCTATCTGTTTACTTCAGATTCTTTTACTTATAATTTTTTTTCACTCAGCAACATGTATTTAACTTATTGTTCCCAGAACATTTTATTAAACTGGCCATGTTCTTATTAGATTAGAATTAATAAGCTGTATTTATCTAGTTCAATTTTTATCAGACTTTCTATTTTAAACTGTCTTGGGGGATGCAGAACACATGCAGAACACTAATAAAAAGAGCGAGTGTGTTTGTTTTTCTTCTGTTACAATACTAAATAATTTAGTCTAGAAAAGATATTAGGAGAAAGAATAATGGCCTATAATTTTTCAGTCTTTATTGAGAATAGAGGGTTACATAGACAATATCTAAGTGTACCTGTCTATATCACCAGTATGTCATGAGATAGTGACAACATTTCAATCATTTTATAGACTTGACAAATTAAATTGATGTTTAAGGATGTTACCTCTGAGGGTTAATAGTTTCAAAATGTTTTCACTAGACTTAATTCAACTTGGATGAACTGAGAAACAAAATTGTTTATTCTAGGAATAAACAATTCTAAGAAAAACAGCCAGTTCATAAAACCAAATAGAAATTAAACAAAAGTAAGATTTTGAGTTTCAAATGCAAAGTCGAGTAGGACCAGTTGATAATACATTCGTTTGTACTTGTGGGTGGCTGCAGATGTGAGTGAACACAACAGCAAGGAGAAGAATCTCCTCCAGTTCTGTGTGGACAGCACTGTTGTCTAGATAGCACTTGGTGGAGGAAAGCAAATGCAGCAATGAGAATCTGCAATCTGACTGAGTGGGAGCTCTGAAAATAACATGACACAGGGGTAGAAATAATTCTAATAGCTATTTCTCAGTACCATTTTGAAACCTGGCTCGGGCAATATTTTGTAGGAACTAACTTTGTCAAAAGGTCCTTGATGTATCATGATATATGAAGTTAAATGTAAATGGTTAAAAATGCCTTTAACACCACTTTTCAAAGAAGGTGATGTCAGGAACAATAATTGCTAACATTAACAGAGCTCTGTGTGTAAGCCCCTTATGTCGTTCAGTCTTGTGAGCAGTGCTAGAAGATGGCCAATTTTACCATCTCTATTTATACATAGGACTACCGAGGTAGAATAAAAATAACATGATATAGGTTTATGCAGCCATTAATTGAAGTCATGGTCTCTCTTCCTTTGCTATTATGAATATAAATCTTAAATTTTTATTAAAATATAGCAGATATAAAAAATTGGGGAGACACAGGTAAATATGAAAACGAGAATAAAATTCACAACACTCTTACTTTTGTTTGGCTTTTAATCAGTATTTATTTGTTTCTTTGAAATGGTTTCTATGGTATGTATGTCTGTATGTGAACGAGTGTGTGCACCTATGCATTTATAAATGAATGTGAACGTGAAATAAAAGGGAAAGAGAGACAAAGACAGAGAGAGATAGAGCACATGCCTGAGAGTAACTATACAAGGCGATTATATACAACATAAGGAGAACATTCTTTGCACTCATCAGTGCTTGGTGTCCATTCCTTGCTGGATTAGAAGATATCCTTCACACAAAAGGTGTTGTCTATTGTCCTTGTGTATTTGGTGAGTATTATCATATTTTTCAAGTGAGTTTCTATTTTTTTCTCTTAACAATGGTTTCCACTTGTTTTTGTGTTTTTACTTTATGTTAGCAGGTTATGCTCTATCCCAAGAGTGTATTAGCATATAATGGATCCTCTAATAATTTTCCTATAGTGAATTATATCTCAGGGACCATGAAGGGATGCTCATCCCACATTAATTAAAATTATTAATTTGTCATTTGAAACTTCTTTTCAATCTATATCTGTCTGAAATGTCTATTTGTTCTTGGTGCATGTCTGTCACTGTGAGGATAATGAGCCATGGATGTTAACAGTACAGCTGTGTTTCTCTAAGTGCCAACTGTTTCTCATGCTCATCTCTCTGAAATCTTTCATAAATGCTGTCACTGGCTCTCACTTCTCAGGGACAACAGTTTTTTCAAGGAACACATAGGTGATATGTGTTATTTCTTATAAAACAGAGACCTCTAATATTTTACTTGTCAGAACAAAAATATTTCTGGAGTATTTCAGAAGAAAATACCTGCTTTGAGTCTTTTCTGTGTCAAAGTCCTTCAGTTCATGTCTATTCCTTAGTTCTGTGTACTCAAAGTCAAGCAAGGGTTAAAGAATAAGGTTTTTCAGTTCATTACAACGTCTCTGAATAAGGTTTTTTCAGTTGATTTCAATGTCTCTGGGAGGTTTGATCTGCATGGATGTTGATTCTGATTCTACAGCTTCCTGGAGTCATTGTGTCTCACTATCTATAGGGCTGAAGATATCTCAGGGACTTTTAGACCTGGTTTCACTCTCTCAAGGTCATTATTGCTGACAATCAGTGGTAATAGCAATCAGAATCTAATGGATAGTCTCTGTGCACTCCAGTGCAAGCTGAGCCTGTGTGTGAATGGCTGACTCCAGCATCTCAGCGACCTTTTAGTCAAGGACTTCTGCTGTCTTCTCTTACAGTAAGTGCTAAAGGCCATTGTGTTGAAGGCACTGATGTAGTTTAATGCAGAGCAAGGGGAATCAAAAAATGAATTGTCCAATCAACAAAAACCTCACAACTGTTTTGTAATCTAGAGAAACATACTCACAAATGAGACATCCTTTGGGATCAAGAGTGGGCACTATTTACCTCATTCTGAAGTCTCTCCTATTACACTTCTGTAGGAAGATCAGTTTTAAACTTCACTAGGAACGTAAGATTTTGGACCATCAAAATGCATCAGAATTACAAAACATGACAGTTTGATCCAGGTCACTTTGGGGATGTTGAGTTAAAGAAATTTTTGAAAACAAGTGGAAATTATTTTATATAGGGCAAATAATTATTCCAGTAAGGGAATTTTAAACCAATGTCAGAAGAAATCTTAAAATTTATTTTGGAGTTCTCACGGGAAAACTAAGTTTATAATTTTACTAGGAACATATACTTCTGCTCCACAAAAATGTGTCAGAATTATAAATCATGACAGTATAATATATGCCAGTGTATGTGCATGTGTGTGATTTTGTATTTGTACATGTTTGTGAGTGTGTAACCCATATCATTTATTAGGCATTGTTTTAAGAAGTTGCTATTCAACTTTTAAGTTCTGTCATTGGAGGCCTTCCCTTTTCTGAACAGAGAGAATTGTGTTTGAGGGGGTGGAGGGAAAATGTGGGAAAGAAATGGGAATAGAGGGGACAACAGAAATTGTATCGGAGATGTAAAATAAATAAATAAATAAAAAGATAACTCTCTGATTTCACCTGAGTCACAAATGTGTTGTCTTATTCCTTTCTGATATTAGGAGCACGAGCCTCGAGGTAATGACCGGGGGAAGAAATATTACCAAGATCACCCAGTTTATCCTCCTGGGATTCTCAGATTTCCCAAGAATTACAGCAATGCTTTTTGTCATATTCTTGGTTATTTATCTTCTGACTCTGACCTGGAACTTGTCCCTTATTGCTTTAATAAGGTTGGATGCCCACCTCCACACACCAATGTATTTCTTCCTCACTAATCTGTCCTTTATAGACCTCTGCTTTGTCACTTCTACAGCCCCCAAGATGCTTTCTACCTTCTTCCAGGGAAAACAAACTATCAGCTTTGTGGGCTGCATAGTTCAGTACTTCTTCTCTGCCACTATGGCGCTGAGTGAATCTTGCCTCATGACAGCCATGGCCTACGACAGGTATGCTGCCATTTGTAACCCACTGCTCTATTCATCAATCATGTCACCCACCCTTTGTGCTCAGATGGTGATGGGAACCTATATTGCAGGACTCACAGGTTCTTTATCTCAGATTTGTGCCTTGCTGCAGCTCCACTTCTGTGGACCTAATGTCGTCAGACATTTCTTCTGTGACATATCACAACTTTTAAAGCTGTCCTGCAGCAATGCTTTCTCTGTGCAGGTCCTGCTGGTGATATTAACAATGGTTTTTGGAATAGTCAATGCCTCAGCTATCATGCTATCCTATGGCTTTATTGTCGTGTCCATCATGAAGATCACTTCAGCTAAGGGCAGGTCTAAGGCATTTAACACCTGTGCGTCTCACCTGACAGCTGTTTCGCTATTCTATAGTTCTGGTATCTTTGTCTATTTGCGTTCCAGCTCTGGTGGCTCCTCCAGCTTGGACAGATTTGCATCTGTCTTCTACACTGTTGTGATTCCAATGCTGAATCCTTTGATATACAGTCTGAGAAATAAGGAAATCAAAGATGCCATGAAGAGGTTGCAGAAAAAGATAATCTGCTGCCTAGGTCACAGATAAGAAGATTTCAGCAAACTGCCACGTCAGAGTTACTGTTATCAGAAGTCTTGTGCACATTACTGGAACACTATGAAGTCTTTGACACTTTGGATAAAGATGACTTTGAAACAGATAACATGCCAATATAAACCAACAATTGATTTGATGCCATGGAAATGTATCATTTTTGGGACCAGTAACATCATAATTTCCTTGTTACAAAATGGCCATATTATCATTAATTATTCTATCCGTAGGTATTTGAGTAACATCGAATTGAGAAACTTGTGCCAGGCTAAAATGTTAAATTATAAGGCTACCCCTCTAGAGAAGATTCCTGATGGAATCCCTGACCTCAGAGTCTACCAACCTTGTCTCATGGATATCTTGATATAATGTAATGTAATAAGGACCATAAGATGACCATTGATTTTTCTGTGATACTGATCAGGCAAGGATGATCATACCAAAACTCTCTGTTTGAAAGAAATATAAATGCATATTAGCTTTATTGTACCTTTCAGGAAGACTATTTAGAAACAACTTGATTTTGTCAAAGGAAATCAGTACTAGACCTTAATAGCCTTTGGTTAAACATAAAAGTTGGAGTTTGAATCATGAAGAAAAATCGGGAAGAAGACAGAGTTTCTTCAGTGACAATTTTTTAATATTCTGATGGTATGATTTCTGGTACCGTGAAAAGCCATGACCCATAGAAGTATCTTATTGGACCAATAGTAATATGTGAGATGATGGGACTCTAATCTCTTATAGTCTTCTATATCACATGCAAAGGTTTGCCCTGGGTCAGTATAGCCAATCAGACCATTTCATAAAATATATATGATATTTCACGCATCTGTTCAAATTTGGTCTTAAGAAGACTTGTGTGAATTCATTGTAATATAGTCATTGTCCATTCATCATTGCCGAGTTTAACAGCACATGACACACTGTCATGTTCTTTTTAATTGTCTATGTTTTATTCATCATTTTGTATCCTAGTATTGTATGTTTTGAGGAGAGTGATGTAATGGTTATAGTATAACGACTAAAACTTTAAGCTGATATTTTCCAGTACTGCAGGGGAGCTGTTGATCTTACTACCATGAAGCAGAATCACATCACACAATATCTTGGTTCGCAGTCTTGGTACCTAAATATTTGCAATAGTACGATGATAAACATATCCATGAAAATGAAAAAGTGAGAGTGTCAATATTCTTCCAGAGCCAAGATGAGTGGTTTATACCTGTAATTCCAGCATTAATAAGTCAGAGGGAACAAGAACACTGCCCACAAAATCAACTAAGTGAGCTCATAGGGTCTAACAGAGATTGAAGTGACAAGAGAGAGAGAGAGAGAGAGAGAGAGAGAGAGAGAGAGAGAGAGAAAGAGAGAGAGAGAGAGAAGATGGAGTCAAAGTGATGTCATGTTGCTGCAAAAGGAGAAAGATGCCAGAATATTACTGGAAAGCCACAGCCTCAAGGCAATACATAGATTAACAGAAATGGGTTAATTTAAGATGCAAGAGCTAGCTAGAAATAGACCTGAGCCATGGGCCAAACAATGTTGTAATTAATATATTTTATTTATAATTATTCAGGTCTGGAGGGTCCTGGAAATGAAAACACAGTCTCCATCTGCATGTCATTATTGTAACTCACATGGTTCAAGTCTGTATAAAACTGTTGATAATTTTTAACCCTTGGCATATATATATATATATATATATATATATATATATATATATATATATACATCACCTTTTGGCACTGTGAAAGTTAACCAGCAGGAAAAGGCTTCCAGTTCAGTACCAGCATTTCTCCATCCTGTGACCCAAATATATGGTGTCTTTAACAATACGGTCTACTGTCTAATTCTAATGGGTAACCAAGAGCAGAGGCAGTAGCCTGTCTTATTTGGGAAAGGGTTAATACTATCAAAGGACAACATTTTATATCTGGCATCAGGCTTTTTGTTTCATAACCTATAGCACCAGGGAGAGGCACTATCTTTCTCCTACAGATTAATCTCACTTAAACACACACACACACACACACACAGTGTGCATACACATACACACATGTGCACACACATTCAGAAACTATTAAAACTGTAAGTTTCTCTATGACCTTTACAAGCATCATTAGTGTTGGTTATCCCTCTCCATCCCTTCCTCTGACTTACCTTCACAAATCCCTTCCCATTTAAATCTTTCCCACTCCATTGTCCTCTTTCTCTCTCATGGCACCTGTATTCTGCTATCTCCCTATCTCAAAATCTTTCTCTAGAGCCCCATTTCATTGGACTTTTTCTAGTTCCCTGGTTTCTAAATGTACTCAAGGCAGGTTTCTATGTGAGTTCAAAGCAGGATCTGTGTGAGTTTGTGTGGCTTTTGTCTTTATGTGTCTGGATTATCTCTGTCAGTGTGGGTTTGTAAGTTTTTTCTATTTACTTTTCAAGTTTTATAATATTCTTTTCTTTATAGCTGAATAAAATCCCATCACATGTATGTAGTACATTTACATTATGTATTCATCAGCTGATGGACACCTAGGCTTGTAGTAAGGAGGGGGCTGCTTGTTGGTTTCCGACCACTTAGCTCCAAAATAATCACACAGAATCTGTATTAATTAAATCACCAATTGGCCCATTAGCTCTAGCTTCTTATTGACTAACACTTACATATTAATTTAACTCATTTATAGTAATCTGTGTATCACCACATGGCTGTGGCTTACTGGCTAAAGTTCTGGTGTCTGTCTCAGGCAGCAGTTTCATGGTTTCTCCTTGACTCTGCTCTACTATCTTCCAGCATTCAGTTTAGTTTTCCCTGCCTACCTCTATTCTTTTGCCCTATCAGGCCAAGCCAGTTTTATTTATTAATTAGCCAATTGTATTCACACCATACAAAGGGAAATCCCACATCATAGGCTGTTCACCTTCAAAGCCCAATGCATTCAAATATTTAACATTTGCCCAGGATCTATGAACTATTAAGCACTATGCATACTGGTACTTTGGCCCCACAAAGGTGAGAAGGACTCATTCCCTTGGCTACATCAGTGAGGCTGAAATGAACAGCTGTCAAACTCAGATAATCTGGAGGTTGAGTCCCACATCTAACTTAACAAATGACTGTCTTTCTCTGAGTCTTTTGTTCTGATCCATGAAACATAGGGACATCATGACAGTGTATTTAAAGTCTGTATGACAATAATGAACTCATTGTGTTTATGCTTCAAGTGGATTTTATTGTTTTGGTCATGCTCTTGTCTAGTATAAACAATATCACATATATATCACGGTGGTGTCATAAGCCTATAAGTAAAGAAAACTAAGTCTAAGTTCTAACAAAAGATGTTGTAGAAATATGTAAATATAAGACAAGAGCTGAGAGAAGGCACTTAAACACACATGCCTGAAGAAAGACTTTTAGCTTCTCACTATTCAGTTATCCAGTTTATCACTGTTTTAAGTCACATACATTTTCCTTGGCTTACAAAGTGATATTCTTCCATATGAGTTTTTCAAATACCATATTTTGGAGACCAACTCTCCTTTATTTCATTTCCTCTTTCTTCCTCCACCCCCCTTCTTAATCACCCACACACTCCTAATATTCTCCTATCTGCTTTTATATCACCTGTGTTCTGTTATGGTCCATCCCTTGAGGTATCCAACCAGTAATTCTTTTCTGGGCCTTATATTCTACAAGCATTCCATTAAACCCACAAATCTAAAGATTTGAAGCTGAGATTTATGAAGAAAATGTGAGTAGGCATTTGTCTTTCTGGGCCTCTGCTACATCATTCAGTATAATTTTTGAGAAGATTGCCCTGAATATGTTGATCAATTTTTGGTTGGAAGGCCATTTTTACAATGTTGTTTCTGTAATCCATAGGCATAGGGATATTTTGCACCTTTTATCACCTTTCTTAATTTTTTTATTACTTTATTAATACTAAGAGTCAAAATTTCCACTTCCTCTGCTCCACCTGCTTTCCTCCCACTCCCCCACTCACCCTCCTCCTTTCCCATTTCAGTCCTAAGAGAGAGGGCAGGGTAGCCTGCCCTGTGGGAAGTCCAAGGCCCTCCCCTCTCCATCCAGGCCTAGGAAGGTGTGAATCCAAATAGACTAGGATCCCCCAAAAACAGTACATGACATAGAGAAAAATCCCAGTGCCATTACCATTATCTTTTCAGTCTTCCCCAATTGTCAGCAGCATTCAGAGGGTCCAGTTTGATCCCATGCTCATTCAGTCCCATTCCAGTTGGATTTGGTGATCTCCCATTAGATCAGGCACACTGTCTCAGTGGGTGGATCATCCTCTCGTGGTCCTGACTTCCTTGGTCATATTCTCCCTCCTTTTGCTCTTCAACTGGACTTTAGAAGAACAGTCCAGTATTCCCATGTGGGACTCTGTCTCTAATTCCATTTTTCGTTGGATGAAGGTTCTATGGTGATATTCAAGATAGTCATCAGTTTGACTATGGGACAAGGCCAGTTCAGGCACCTTCTCCTCTACTGCCCAGGGTCCAATCTGGAGACATCCCTGTGGACGTCTGTGACCCCCTCTAGAGTCAAGCCTCTTGCCAACCCCACAATGCCTTCTTTAATTAAGATATCTTCTTCCCTGCTCTCGTATCTGTCTTTCCTCCATCTCAACCATCCCACTCCCCCAAGCTCTCCCTAACCCTTCCCTTCTCCCTTCTCTCTCCCCCTCTCCCCTTCCCCCCCTCCACCCTCACCCCCATGATCCCAACTTTTGCCTGGCGATCTTGTCTGCTTCCAATTTCCAGGAGGATCTGTATATGTTTTTCTTTGGGTTCACCTTATTACTTAGGTTCTCTAGAATCGCAAACTATAAGCTCAATGCTCTTTGTTTATGGCTAGAATCCACTAATGAGTGAGTACATACCATATTCATATTTTGGGATTTGGGTTATCTCACTCAGGATAGTGTTTTCTACTTCCATCAATTTACATGCAAAATTCAAGATGCCATTTTTTTTTTTACCATTGAGTAGTCCTCTGA